GGTGTGTGTGTGTATGTAGTATATATAGTATAATAATATATATATACTTATATTATATATATATATATATATATATATATATATATACTTGTATTTATATTTATATATATATTGTTCGCCAATTGTTTACGAATTTGCTCTCCAGCATTACTGTAGTCTGCCGGGAAACACGTTATATATATATATCAGACCATTGTACATACATAACGCGATCTGCATGCTCATTGAGGCCTACTCTGAGTGCGCGTATGGATATGTGAAGATATGTCGCACGTAGGCACTCTCGCACGTGATACCCATGGTAAGCACACGAATACACCGGTAAATGCACGGGTAAGCTTCTGGTACGACGCTCGGTGTCGCTGCAGTTTGCAATAATTGTTCTTATGGTGGGTGTAGTCGTGCGTACTATGCAATGCTTGACATGTATGCTGCACTTGCCGGTAATTCCCAGCGTATCTACCAGTATGCAACAATACATTTATATATATTATATATTATATATATATATATATCATGTACATGTACATGTGTAAATATATATATGTGGATGGGCGGGTGGGTGCGTGCGTATGTATGTATGTATGTATTTATTTGTCTATATCTATATATGTATATATTTATATTTGCATATATATTTATACATGTCTATGTATATAAGTTTATGTTTCTCGGTTTATCTGTCTTTGTTTGCTTATATATATTTATATGTATACATATATGTATTTGTATATATGTATACATATATAGATATCACAAGATGTATATATGTATATATGTATATATATATATCACAATATGTATATATATATATATATATCACAATTCGTATATGTATATAAATATATATATATATCACAATATGTATGTATGTATATATGTGGATGTATATATATATATATATATATATATGTGTGTGTGTGTGTTCAAATATAGTATACACACTGGCCTTGCCAAGAGAGGTATTGTGTGAATGGCTGTCTCCCCATAGCCTGTATATGCTGCTTCTCATATCATGAGATTTCCTCTGATCGTTGTTGGTGTTGTACTTCAAATACAGCGAGGAAACTAGAAAGATCTGGAACTACCAATTCAAGGTGACCATGTCACTGACGTTGAGTAAGAGTGGGCTGGTTCAAGAGCTGACGGTCGACAACACAGGTACGTGCTAGTAGTTGCCACACGTGCACACTATCTGTAATACATTTCTTAAGTACGTTTGGTTGGCTCATGTGTGTATGTGTATGGTACGTGCTAGTAGTTGCCACACGTGCACACTATCTGTAATACATATCTTATGTATTGTTGGTCGGCACATGTGTGTATATGCACGTGCTAATATACCAATTGAGAAGGGATGTACTTGTCTTTATTTGAGTACGTATTCGTGCGTGTCATCACTGGTGGGAAGTTTAAGTATAAATGTGCATTTTCTTTTTCCGTTCCCTTGACTGCATCAATCTGTGTGCGTATGTGTGTTTGAGTGCGCTGAGCTTGTCACCCCATTCCACATACGGTTATCATTCGAACCCTGAAGTGTGTATACATACACTGGCTAAACATTTTCTAACTCTAAACCCTAAACTCTAACCTCTATAAAAACGCCTAAACTCTAGAACTCTAAAACCCTAAACTCTCGTGCTATACATTCGTTTACTAAATTATCTCCCTTTCTAAACACAGGCGAGAATGCCTTCGATTTCACAACATTGTTGCATACATACTTCAAATGCGCGGATATCGAGCACGTTTCCGTGGAGGGACTGCAGGGCTCTGGCTGGACTGACAAAGTTTTGGGTAGGTTTGGATACGTATATAATTATCTATGCTTTTTTTTATAAGTATTGGTTTCGAAGAGGCGGTAACTATATATATATGTGTGGGTGTGTGTGTGTGTGTGTGTATGAATATGTGTATGAATGAATGTATGTACAATATGTATATATATGTATATATATATATCTGTATATCTGTATATATATATATATACATATATATATATATATATTTTATATATATATATATATATATATATATATATATTATACATACATTCATACGTACATTACGTATATGTTTATGTTTATATATATATAAATAAATATATGTATATATATGTACATGTGCACGCAGGTATGGCTTACTGTATGATGGGAAATATTTGTTAACTTTATTATATATCAAGTTTATCTTAATCTATTGAGAGACACAGATGTATATAGAGTCTGGTCCACTATTTGTAAAGTATATACCTTGTGGATTGCATTTTTTTGGGCTTAGGAATCAACACTCCACCGAATTTAACCGCCAGGTAGACAAAAGCGCATACCACACATTGTGGGTCGTTATTAGAAATTTTACGCACACTGTTTGCCCCATTCGAATATACACTGAACTGCCCACGCAACAATTAAGTACGAGTACTCTACTGAACCGCGCCCAGTACTCTACTGAACCGCGCCCAGTCCTCTTTTCTGATACATACCTACATAGCTACACCATTTTCTTATTATGGCATGCGCATGAGTATATCTACATTCATATTGTCTACATAATCTAGAACGAGTACACAACCCAACCGCGCCCAGCCCCATCTCTATTATATACTTACATAATCACCACCAGTTGCCTGTTATGGCATTCGTGGGCGTACCTCTACAAATACCTTGTCTACACGATCAAGGGCCAGTACTCTACTCAACCACCCCCAGTCCCCATTTCTGATACATACCTACATAATTACCTACACCAGATGCTTATTATGGCATGCGTATGTGTACCTCTACATATAGCTTGTCTACACAATCAAGGGCCGGTACTCTATTCAACCGCGCCCAGTCCCTTCCTCCGATACATGCCTATATAGATCCATCTGTTGCTTATTATGGCATGCGTGTGCGTACCTCAACACACACAGGTGATGCTCCAAAGAGCGAAACCCGAGCTTCGTTGAAGCTGGATGGGTTCTACGACAGTGTGTACTCGCAGACACCCTCAACGCAGACCATTAAGGGGCTGGCAGGAAAGGATACGCCTCTGGTTGTGGATGTGGAGAAGACTAACCTCCCTGATACTGGTATGATGATAGACGATGTTAGCGATAGTGTTTGTTATGGTAGCAATGGCGATAAAATGTTGTGTGGTTGTTATGGAAATATGACGTGTATGTGTCCCGGATAACATAGGCATGTATGCCCATTGCTTTGCAGAATATATGATGATATACAAGTAGGGTTCAGGTATGTGTTAGGTTATTCTGTGTACAGTTTGTGAAAGACATATCGAGTGCTATATTGGGAGAAGTCCCACATTTTACCTTACCTGGTGTTGCTATTGCTTCAGTATCCTGAAATGCCACACTTCACAATCTCTGTTGCTCGGGAGTTTTTTAGCTCCTTTTTTTGTACAAAAGGGGATGTGATATTCAAATGAAATATTCAATGTCCCAACCCCAAACCTTAAACTCTACATACCACAGTCGTATGGAACCCGTGGGAAGAGAACGCGGCCAAAATGGGCGACTTCGATGACGATGGCTTTCACTATATGATCTGCGTGGAAGCAGGGGCTGTGAGTGAGCGCACTACTTTGGAGCCAAATAGCACGTGGAAGGGCAGTCAGAACATCCAGCCCCACGCTTAGGGGCGATAACGCGTACTGCGTACACATAGACCTATACAGATATTATTATACACACATAATATATATTTATATTTATATCTTATACCCAATTGATCCATGATCACTTGCTCCGAATAAATAATGATGAACTCATACTTGTGCGCCTCTCAGATACCTATTCGTGTTCACTATGGGGTCTACTATTCAGTTTTGGAACGATCGACTAAGTTTATATCAGCAAACACAAAGTAGTACATCTAGTCAAATTCGGGTATAAAATATAACATTAAAATGGCGCTTTAGTCACTTGGTGGAAGATGGAGAAAGAATGAAAGGACCGTTAGTGGTCTTCTGTATTGTATACGAGGTTAGTTATATATATATAAACCCCACAATGCTACAACCGAACAATGAAGCACGCTGAGGTAAACTTAAATATCTGATCTGAAATGATCAGTGAACAAATTGACTGGAACTGTCATATTCATTGATATTAGCCGCGTATAAGTCGACGCTGATATATCACAGCTTGCACCAGTAGACTATTGCACTAACCACACAGTAGTTGTGCCTGACACCTGTCGTTGATGCGGATAGTGTCGCCCGTCTTCGCGGCACAAGGAACACCTATGCTGACCGCACATCCAGCCGTATCCAATACATCGCCATCCAGTACAGGGTTGTGGGGTTTGGGGTTTTAGGGTTCTCTGGTTGCACAATGCGCGTCCAGTTCAGCAACACTCGCCACACCAGCCACCACTATACGGTACACTGAACTATCACAGTAAATGACCCCCGTGCAGCCGGGGGCAGTTTCGCTCTTAGAGTATCAGCTAGAGCAATGGATAGTACATCACCCTGAATTCATTTATCGATCTATCTTGTGAGCGCCTAGAAGGAATACTGTGACTATCTATTTTCCCTATGAAACCCATGTCTACCATTAAATATGTCTGTCCACAGGGTATATCTCTCGCAAAATTCACCGTATAACTTCCTATAAATCTTCCGTTATTACAATTCAATACTTTTGCACTATATATATCTTCCCACCACGCATATCGTACTATTTATTCCTCGAATGACTTCCCATATATCTTCCATTATATATCTCCACTATATATCATTGCACTATACATATATCTTCCCAGCAGGCATGTTCCTCTCCCCGTATAACTCCCCATATGTCTTGCATTCTATTCTTCCCACTTTATATCTTTGCACTGAATATCTCCCCAGCACGCATATTACTTTCTATATCCCTCGTATAACTCCCCATATATCTCTAATTATATATTTCCCACTATATATATTTGCACGGGATATCTTCCCACCATTCATATCCTTCTCTATATTCTCTGTATGACTCAATCATATATCTTCCATCATATATCGCCACTATATATTCTTTGCACTATATATCCTCCCGCCACGCATATTCTTCTCCTTTTTATTTTCCTTATAACTCTCAATATATCTCCCACTAAATATCCTCTTCTCTATATCTTTCCGTTATATATAATCCCACCATGTATAAGCCTCTTTGTATACCCCGTATAACTTCTCATATACCCTCCAATTTATATCTTTCAATCCTATATCTTCCGTCATGTATATTCCACTTTGTATTTTACGTGTAACTTCTCATTATTTTTAGTTCTATTTCCTGCATTATATATACCTTGCCACCAAGCACATACCTCTCTATACTACCTGTATATCCCCATATAAATCTTTGTCTTCCGACTATATGATACGAATAGACCGCATGGCACAGTACGACACCAATTGTAAATGTTGTCTAGAGCATAGTGACTAGAGAATTGAATTGAAAACTGATAATAGTATTTTTGTTCGTGTCATGGACTGATGTTTTAGCACATCCATCTGGTATTTAACAACCAGCGCATAACTATACGAGCAAATAAAACGTACAACACCCTGGCCACTTTAATATCATCCCAGTCCTATTCACAGCTTTACAATTTTAGCAAAACCGCTAAAAGAGAGAGTCGATGTGGCTTGGCATTACACATTTGGTCTGCAGTCCAGATACAGAGATATATCAATTATCAGTACAATCCGAAATATCTCGGGGAGCGATGTAATTATACAAAAACAAACAGGTGTGGGTATTGAATATCGTACTATTGCTGTTGTGTTTCATCCGTCATCTCTCCTTCACTTCGCATGTAAAACAGTATGCAGTGTAGTCAGGAAATATTTACATGAGTAGTGTATATAATGATGGGGTTTATTCGATACTCAGGTTTTTTTTGGAATCTACGTTTAAACTTGGTTTATCCGATGAATTTATACTTATCGGATTAAGCACATGATCAAATGTTAGTTATTTTAAAGGATCAGTTCAATAAATGTACAACGCCTTTTCTTGTATGAGGGGAGTACGTTGAGATACGGTTATCTTATACGTTTCTACAATTCTAACTGACTTCTATGTTAAATATTATTTGAACATATAATAAGATAGAAGTGGGACAGACCGATTTTTTAGATTTTTTTGGTTATTCTATAGAGCAAGACATGAGGTCTGGTATATAGGAAATATGAATCAACCGAGGAGAAAGCATTTGTCGACGGTTAGCACTGTGAGATCGACAGTACCAAATGACACATAGTGGCTCTACTAGTAGTGACACCAGTTATAGTATGCCAGCACTCCTAGCGGCTAGCAATAGTGAACTTGAGACAGAGTCGAAAAAGGAACGACGGCAGACCAATCGCAACCTAGACGACTAGAACCACACAATTGACGCCTTCAAATGCGCCTTCAACGAAAGTATAGAGAAATTTGATACATATCACACCACCGTGTGCATACAGCAAGCTGTATGCGTATTAGGTACAGGCTTGAATTGTACACAACCTCGAGTATAAGGTTTCTATGTTTCTATTCAGAGTATCTTATCAAGATTGTACATCTGTAAGTTTCGGTCTATCAAGGCGATATTAACGTCTTAGGATAATTAAACGCTTAGGTTAAGTCTAAGTATAGTTAAATTCGAAATAAATAAACGAAATGAGTCTTTTAGTAAAGTTAGGTATGCCTCGTGAAAACAGCAATACTCTGAGGGATTGTGAGGCTGAGACATTGCCTGTATATAATCCTCTCAGTACTGTTTTCGCCGAAGGGATTTTATTTAGTGTTTCGTTGTCGCTCTATTAGAAACTATGGTAGGTTTCGTTGGGGCGAATCCGAGAGACTCATAAAATCCTATCTTTAGAAAAGAAAAGAAAAAGAAGAAAAAATACTCCTGATGTCCATAGTTATTGCATTAACCAATAACTTGCCACTTATCAAGAATTACCGACTTAGCCTTCATCAGACTGGCACATCTGGTTGGCTGAACGCAGGCTACACTAGATAACACTAATAGTCCTTAGAAACCTATATTCGGTTGAGCCATCTCGCTACCGAAGTATTCCGATATAAATAGATTTGGAAAGTAAATAGAACTAGACCAAATCTTTTGTTTGGAATTTTACTGGGGCCTTTTAATAGCCTTGTCCAAATATCTAATATGTAAAATGAAAAAGGTATTAATTAATAAAACCGTTAAAACCCTTTTAGGAAATTTAAGTTCCTCGTACTATTAAGAGTACGTTTATAGTTTACGTACTGCTTAAGAGTACGTTCATAACATAGAGTCTAATGTGGAGGCCCGGCTATTACACAGCCACCACCCAGCTTTGAAACCCAGGAAAAGCAAGTTGCTCACTCAAGCTCATTATGGGTCAAAATGCGAGAAAGGAAAACGGGTCGAAATCATTAAGTAGCATAACGTATAGTTAATGTTTCTCAGGCGAAGAAGTTAAGCGTTCTCGGTTACCCTGTGAGTTTTGGGCTTAGGTCCAGTAGGTCCGTGGTGGTCGACTGGACGTTTCTTACGCTTCAGTGTCTTAAGCACATATAAAGGGTGAACATTAAAGCTCGGGATAAATGCTGTAGGCGGGTAAGTTTTAACTTCCGTGCCTTCAAACGATGGAAACATGCTATCTTTTTCAGCTTGTGACTTATGCAGGCGTTTACGCCATTTTCGATTAAAGGCTTTTAAATAGTCTTGATTACCGAAAGCATCTGAGGTCAACTCATAGATTGTACCGTCTATAAAGCGTGTACGATAGTATGTATAACCTCCCTTATCCGTTCTCCATATAATATCTTTAAATTCAGAACGATCAAGAGGGGCATTAGCGTCATGTCTTCTTGCGAGTATAGTCTCGGTAGTCGGAACCGACTAGTGCCTATATTAAAAGCACTGGAACCGTCGGGGTTCTTAACCACATATGTTCCACTTTTAACGTCAGCTACAGAGATTATATATGGTCCTATCCATTTAGATGTTAATACAGTAGCATCGGAATCACGTTGACGGATGTTAACTTTGTTTCCAACCTGATACTCTGCTATCTTTTTGGTAGCATTCCATCTATTTTGCCTTTTTAATAAGGCAACATTGCGGTATGAAGTTTGCTTATAAAAGTGAACCGAATCGACACAAGCGCGTGCAAACGGCGTGCGCTATGGAGTTTACCCAAAGTGGTTGTTTGAAAAGACACAAACGGATCCACACGGGCGAACGTCTCCATGCGTGTGATTATCGTGGGTGCAGTATGAAGTTTACTCAAAGTGATAGATTGAATGCACACAAACGCATCCACACGGGCGAACGTCTCTACGTTCGTGATTACCCTGGGGGTGGCATGAAGTTTGCTCAAAGTTGTAATTTGAAATGACACAAACGGATCCACACGGGCGAACGTCCCCATGCGTGTGATTATCCTGGGTGCGGTATGGAGTTTACTCAAAGTGGTTGTTTGAAAAGACACAAACGGATCCACACGGGCGAACGTCCCCATGCGTGTGATTATCCTGGGTGTGGCATGA